TCGTCCCTCCCCGCTGCAGCACACAGGCAGAGATAGCATCTCCGGCGTGCTTCTTGCAGGAGCAGACTCCGATACCATCTCCCGAGCATTACGACGTTCCCTTTTTCTTTTATCTCAAGGGAATTTGTTGTGGGTGAGTGTTTCAGGAGAGCCTGGGAGACTGAATTCTTCTGCTAAGGTGAAATAGCCGAAGGAGCGAAGGAGCGGCTGCTCCTCCGTTTCCTGATGCCCCGTCACAGCCGGCTCAGGGGAGCTCTGTGCTGAGGGTTCCTGATGTCAGAGTGGGGCTGGTTCGGGATTGTTGTTCAGGAGCTCAGTCAGGGGCCTTGGCAGCAGCTGACCAGCAACAACTTTGACCAGAAAAGTCCAGAAAAAGCTGACATTGCAGGACAAGCTCCACATTTCCTCTTTGACTCCTCTGCCACGTGGTAAAAGAGCTGAAACATGGGTTGAGGTTGTGATAACACAGAAGGAAAAGCCCTAAATCCAGGTGTTCCCTACCTGTGGGGCTGTGGCAGGGCTTTACCTCGTTAGGGCAGTTGTCACCTTCAGGCTGACTCGTGACTTGGCCTAAAATGTGAGGGTGACCTGAGGGGGTTCAGACCTCACAGCACAGGTTTTGGCCCACATGGGAGGCTCAGGGCCAACATGGGAATTACCTGGAGCAGGAGGGTGTTTGCTGGAGCGAACATGAGCAAAGCGAGCACATCTGCTCCGAGCAGGGGTGGCCGGGGTGGCTCTGGAGCACAGCTCCCACACGACGGCTGTTGGGCAATCCTGTACCCCCCACTGTGGAGGGAAGCAGGCCAGGAACACCTGATCTTTGCCCTGCCAGGTTGCCCCAGGATGGTACTGGAAGCTGAGCACTGTCCTCTGCTCGCTCTGCCTTTGCCAGTGGTGGGTTGGGCCCAGGTCCCCTCCTTCCCCAGCTCCCTGAGGGACAGGGCATGTGTGCACCCCAAATCCCCTGATTTGGCAGCCTGGGGAGTCAGAAATCCAAATCTGAAGCCCATAGGTGTGAGGCAGTGCTGCCCAAAGAGCAGAGCCCTCGACTGAGAGGATCCAGAGTCCTTCTCTCTGGTTAAGTTGCTTCCTCGGTGGCCGCCCAGAAAATCACCCCACACTCCTGGAGCTGCTGAAGGCAGCGTGACTGCTGTGAAGTCCTGGGATCTAACAGAAGGCAGATAAAGCCTTGTTGTTATTGTGTCCTTCAGGGAACAGATGAAAGAAAGGAGGCACCATGAATTACCGAGGGTGAGGCTCTGGGAACATCTGAGCACCTCCAAAATCAGTTAAGTGCATTAATGTGAAAACAGCCGGAGGGGCCCAGGAAGGAAGGAGATCACAACAGGAGGGAAAACACAAAAGGGTTCCTAATCCCTATAACTCCCTCACTCCCTCACAGGCACCTCTGCTAGAAGCAAAAATAACTTCTCTTATTGAGAATGCCACGGTGGAGCCAGGCGGGCCGGGCTGGGTGTGCGATTTTCCACTGCATGCGGCAAGAGCTGGCGTCACACCAGCGAAGGGTTTTATTCCCAACAAAGAATAAAACAGTGCAGGGTCTAATTTCCTGCTTCTTTGCTGCTTTTTTCAGGCCAATACCTGTCCAGCTGCATGACTGTAATGGCTCTGCCCAGTCCCTCAGTAGCCCCGGGCAGGGGTGGCCGGCGGGGCCTCACCACTGTCCCTCCCTCTGCGCTGCCCTGGGCGAGCCCTTGGGGTTTGGAGGGTCCTCACCCCACTGCTGGGTGTGGGGGCCTTTGCCCCTCAGCACTTTTGGCACAGGTGATGCTGGTCCTGCGGAGTTACTGTTGGCTGTTACTGTTACTGACCTCAGCTGCAAATCCATAGGAAAAAACCTATGGCACAAGCACTGATAAGAACTGATCGTACTCTTCCCACTGATAAGGATTTATGCTACTCTTCCCACTGATAAGGATTGATCACGCTCTTCCCACTGATAAGGACTGATCCTACTCTTCCCATCAGAAATTGCAGGTAGCGTGCCCTGGCCGTGGGTGTCTGATGCAGTTGCAGTCCCACTCCTCTGATTCAGAATATTTAGGCGTTAAAACCTGCCTCAGCCAGGAGAGAGAGGAAATTGTGGAGAGGATTTTTTAGCTTCTACACATTTTTTAGAAGCCACAGGCTGCTTCTGTGGAATTTGGGACAGGTGATGGAGCAAAGCAGGTACCCACTGCTGTAGGGACTTTCCAGTCTCTGTCAGGAGATTCAGTCCAGACTGGTACAAAAGCAGAAATTACTGGAGTTCCTTCTCTTTTGAGCTACAAGATTTCTGCCAAATCCCGTATCAGTACACAAATCCCGCCAGGTCTGTGCTTGTCCTGGGTTAGAGGTCCTGACGGGAAAGTTTCCATCTGGCTCTGGGTTGGCCCATATAAAGATTATGGATGTGCAGAGCTCTTAAGTCAGCAGCTTTCCTTGGCTTTAGACTCTTTAAAAAAGCAAATAAACAGATTTGTAGATTTTTGCAATGATATCAGCCACTTGCGGGCGACCTGGCGGATCACAGAGGATTCACTTGTGTTACTTCATGAGGGAGCAGCGGGTGGAGCTGGGCTGGGAACGCTAAAACGTAGCCATGAGCAGGAGCCTGGACCACGCCAGGTGCTGGGAATGGAAGCGGAAGGAGAAGATCCCGTGTGTGCCGTGGTGCTGCTGGTGGGATGTGACAAAAGATGTGAAATCAGGGAGAGGAAAATGATGATTCTGGAATTTGGCTCAGGCTGTTGGGGGTGACGAAAAGCACCGGGAACGCCTCCTGGCCGGGCTATAAAGGGCCCCGAGGCAGGGGAAGGAGCACTCACTGCTGAGCTGCAGAACTGCCTCTCTCTCCACCTCCAGCCTC